ACATTTTTACTATATTATAAACTGGTTTACTCATTTTTACATCCTCCCTTGCACTTTTTCATAGTGCCATACATATATAATCACTATGCAACAAATATTTCCTAAGTTGAATTGCTTATTTATGTCCTCCTCCCCATCAGATCTTTTCTTTGGAATTATGTTTCAAATTACAGTTTTTTCATGTAATCCTCCCATTTATATGTGAGAACTAAATTTTCTAGCTCTTCTGTTTGCATCGTTGTAGTCAACTTTAAGCCTATGTTCTTAGTGTGTGTGGCCATACTCATAGTCTTTCTTAGTGCCAGCATAAATCAGTGTTACATCTATGTTAAGCAGAATTTATGTGGGAATAAAAGCAACAAGAAACAGCTCCAAGACCCATATTCTGTATAGAAGAGGAAAACAGTGAGTCTAGGTTATGTGGTTTTGTGGTGCATGTTTTGACAATTCTGCTGGCTTGGCTTTCTCTGACTCCTCACAGATTTAATTGATTTGAGATATACATATGTATGAAATACACGTGGAGCCTAGTACATTTCTTTAGAAGTTAAATTTTCTAATTTTCCATGTATATAGTTCTCAAATTAGCAGATTTTATGCTTAAAAATCATAAAAATTTTTATTTGTAATTCAAAAAAACAAAATCATTACAGGCTAATTATAAAGTGGAGATTTACAAAGCATATGAAAACAGGAAATATTAGTGGCAATGAGATGAGTTAGGAGACTGTTAAGCTATTAAGGTCACTCAGGCAAGCAAGGTAGCAGGGAATGAAATGAGTTGTCAGCCTCTGTATAAATTATATGCCTGGGAATAACAGGAATTGGCACCTCCTAAAATGTCAGAAATTAGAGGTACAGATTAGATATATTAGATGTTTCAAGATAATTGCTTAATGGCATCCTGTTACTAAGTGCATATTTTCTTACTCTTCCCCTATGCAGAACTTCTCTGCCATAAATCTTAACTGTCCTTTAATTAAGGTCTAGGTCATATTCTGTCTTTTCAGAAGTCACTTTGAGATGGTCTTTAAGTGAGGGAAATGCAGATTTTCATAATTTAATAATTATTTTTTACAGTGTAGTAATATTTGTTTTTCTTGTGTATCTTCTCACTCTGGCCGTTGTCTAGTAATGACTAGATGGTTTTGAATTGAGAGTTTTTTCTTTAGTGTTTTATTTTTTCTTTAATAGCTAAGACATAAGCCAAATGTCAAATTGGATAAACTGCTTTTTTTCTAAGTTATGCCAAGTCAAAATTTAAAAAGCCTGTCTCTACCTACTGTTTCTTAGGAAACAGCTGATTTTTTTATCTTTAACTTTAAATTTGCAACAATAGTGTTTTGGGGAAAATGGTCATAACACAAAGGCTTATATTAGAAGACAGCTCAGTATTTAGGATTTGTCACTTTCTTTCTGAATGACGAGCTTAGTTATTTTATTTCATGACTGTTCCCATGACTCTTAAAATATTTAAGACCCATTTTAAGTATTTATATGTAATGGCACATATAATTTTAATTGTTTTCGCATGGAGTATTTATGAAATAATATAATCTTAATATTTCAGAATTTGATCAGAGAGGTAAAAAATCCTAATTTTAAAGCATCTGTATAGTTAAATGTATCAGAATTAAATCATCATAAGTGTAGTTTCAAATATGTGGTAATATTTTCTAGCTCACTCCAATAAGGAAAGCAGTTGGGTTATATCAGGGAACAGAATTTTCTATCATCATTATAAAAATTATTCTTACATCATCAAATCCCTGTCAGGCTTCACAATGTGCAAGGCACTAATAAGCACTCTATATACATTAAAATGTATCTGTTAGGTTTATAGTTATTGTATTCATTTGCAGGAGAATTCCTCCCAAGGTTCAGGAAGGTTACTTGGCCTGGCCACAGTCACCCAGCTAGTAAGAACCAGTGCCACAATTCCAGAGCTTTTTCCTGCTAGATCAGGTATCTGGGTATTCCGGAAGGGTTAGAGCTCTGTTGGCTAATTACTTTAAACTGGTGTCTAGCGTGGTACCTGGCACATAGCAGATGATTCCACATTGGTACTCAAAATACATTTTTCACCACATATCTTGTTACACTGTGGCAGGCAAGACACATGACTGAATACTTGGAGTTACATGGGTATTATCCAGTGCTCTGAACAGGACTGCTGCTGAACAACCTGGCTTTTCCGAATGAACACCTTGTTTGGATAGCTTTCCAATGGACATTAGGAATATAAAGCTTCTTGATAGGGGAGATGGAGGCTGAGGCCTATGTGGAACATAATGAACCTTCCTTTTTGAATTGAAAGTCCCCCTTAGGAGTATCACGATAATTTTCAAGACCTCAAGATACAAAACCTGAGGCCTGTCTAGCTTCTTGGGGGATGTGGGGTGAACAGCTCTGCGTGCCCCACCTTCTCTTGTTTCCTTCTGTTTGCTTCCCTATCATGTGTTGCAGCAGACTCTGAAACTGATCTGAGAAGCCTTAGGCTACTTACTGGAAATGAAGGATGACTGGTCTCTGCCTTGACCAGTTTCTTCACTTTTTTTT